GGATCTTGTGTTTGTTTAGAATTTTGGAGATATTTTTAGTAATGCCTGCTATATATGGTAGTGTGATGGTTTTGACCGGAGTATCAAGTGGTTGTTTCTGTATGGAGGGAGAAACAGCTTGGCAGATGGTACGGTCAGAGTATCCGTTTCTCTTGAGGGCCAGGTGTACATGTTTTTATTCACTGGTCAGGTGGTGTTGGTCCGAAATGCAATGTGCCCTGTGGTATAACGTTTTGATGAGAGAATTCTTTTGAGCTGGGTGGTGGTGGGATTCAGGTTTCAAGTAGGAATCTGTGTGGGTGGGTTTCCTGTAGACAGAATGCCCCAGTGAGCCATCAGGTCTCCTCTCAAACAGAACATCCAGCTTAAAGGACGCGAGCTGGGCTTGCTGTTTTCACTCCAACACTGTCCTCTGGACAGTCCAGTCCCTTCACCTGATGAAGGCCACTTGTGTTGTGGCTGAAACGTTGTGATTTTTTGTTATTTTATTTTACCTACGTGACTTTACCGAATAGAACCAAAGAGTAGGGATTTAAGATGTTCAGGAGCTCGACGCCAATGTGGAGGTCTGCTGCTGGCCACGACGAGAGGGCTTCAGCAGAGAGTTCGTGTCACCTTGCACACGAAATTGACCTCTTTGGCTTGAATCCCAATATGATCATTGTTTCAACTTCCGCGCAGGGACGTGCAATCGAACCGGCGACCTCTGGCTTGCAAGTCCAGTAGTGCTGCTGCCCCGAACACCCACGGTGGCAGCAACAGTAGCAGCGTCCTGAAGTCCAAGTAAATGAGATCAATGCCCAACTGATTTATTCGCGGCAACGCGTGTCGGTACAGCGCTCGCTCCATCATGCATCAGTAGCAAAGCACTGTAACAGTTCAACCTTACTCTGACCGAATGTATGAACAAAAACCTGGTCTGACAATAAAAACACGCAAACGAATGAAAGAAATGAATAAAAGCACAAGTTAACCAATTGAAATACAGCGAAGTATCTTTAAACCCCCAGGTTTAAAATGATCGCCGTCCTGCGTATTCACAAAACGACCGCCCGAGGACGCTGAGGATCACATGGTATGGGCACAGTGCCATGCATACGTCAGATGCAGCTCCAATTTAACACGTAGGATTTCGCGACCAATATTATTCAAGATAAATGTTTTTGGGGTAAGTGTCGTTAACCCACCACAATCCTGGTAAAATCGACCGATGAAGCTGGTTGTAATTACCAGCGAAACCTCGGACTCGAATTGTAAATGTTGCGGGTTGACTCTCCAACACACCGGTGTGCTGAAGTAGTAATTATCACGTTTTGTTTACGTGGCAAACCTTACTATTTGGCTGTGTCGGGTAGTGGTGGGTGAACGACACATTTATATTTACGCGATCTAACAAAAACTGTATTATAAATATATATGCGAGTGTGTCATGTGTTTCTTGTGTGTGTAATGAGTGTGTTTTACTCTAAAACACCCAGTATGCAGATTATCCGCACGCTGGCCGGGTGTGTGTATGTTTGTGTGTATATGTGTGTGGCAAAGACAACCCCCTACTTCCTCGTGGTGCCGGACGGGCAACGCTGTTGTGGGCAGTGCCGTGGTGGGGGGGGGGGGGGGCGCGAATTCCGATTGGCCTTTCCCCTCAGGGCGTCTGTGACCACCACAGCGGCTAAATGGGGCTCTGGACGGGTGCGAGGGGCTGGTAACCCCTCCACCTTCAATAAATTACCACTAAACCACGACTGAAATGTCTAACTAATAAGGTGGTGCCGGAGGCCCCGGGGGGACAGGCGTCTATTACGTCTCCTGGCCAAACCCCATTTGGCGGAGCCAGGAGATTGAATCTTTACCCTCGGGGCTCCTCCAGAAACAACGAAAAGCCACTACGGATGGCCACCTGGAATGTTCGAACGCTCACTGCGGAGGAGAGGCTGCCACTCCTCTATTGGGAGCTGGACCTGTACCCGCCTAGATCTCTGTGGCATTCAGGAAGTCCGGTGGACCGGCTCTGGCTCCTGCCACCATGAGGGGTGGACAGTCCTCTACTCGGGGCGGGAGACTGCCAAACAAAAGGGTGTGGCTCTTTTTCTGAACAAAATAATGAAGGGGGTGTGGGAGCGTGGCGGTGAGGTGTGGGAGACTGCCAAACAAAAGGGTGTGGCTCTTTTTCTGAACAAAATAATGAAGGGGGCGTGGGAGCGTGGCGGTGAGGTGTGGGAAGCTGTAAGCCCCATGCTACTTTGGGCTCGCCTTCCCATCAACCGGAGGCGAGGAGTGGTGGTCGTGGTTACTTATGTCCCCACCGAAGACATCCGTGGAGGGATGCAGGCAAGGCCGATGAGTCAGATGCCTTCTAGGACCTCCTGGCACAGGTGCTGGCTAAAGTGGCCCATCGGGATAATCATCTTGTTGGGTTACTTCAATGCCCAAGTTGGTCATGATGTTGGCACCTGGTCTAGAGTGATTGGAAGGCATTGGCCAGATCAGCTCAATAACAACGGTATGAGGCTGCTAGATTTTTGTGCAGCCCATGGGCTTGTAATTACCAACATGCTGTTCTGGCATCGGCGCATCCACACAACATCATGGATGCATGCCGGGTCCAAGCAAGAACATCTGCTGGACTACATAGTGACGGATCAGCGGATGCGAGCCCATATCCTTGACACCAGGACCTACCGTGGAGCTGATCTGCCCTCTGACCATCGACTAGTCATCTGTTAGATGCGCCTGCCATTCTTCCACTTCGGTGGTGAGTGTACACCCAGGACCGCATTCCAACTTAAAGTGGCATGGTCTCAGCTAGCTGATGAAAGTTGCAAGCGAAAATTTTATCATCGCTTGCCACTGGAGTTGGCATCGTCCCCCACTCCTCCTGATGTCGAGGATAAATGGGCGAGGTTTAGGACTGTGACTCATGCAGCTGCAATGGCTGCTTTGGGTACGCGGTTCAGACCTCCCCAGAGACCCTGGCTGACAGAGGTGGTGTTCAGGATGGTTGAGAAAAAACGACAGGCCCACTCTAATCGTCTACAGCATCCCATGTCAGAGAATGAGGAGGCTTACCGCAGCCTTCGCTCGGAGATTCGGAGAGCCGTGAGGCGCTGCAAGGATGGGTGGTGGTCGCGGGTTACTGAGGAGATGGAGTCTGCCTTAGTGGTCCGCGATCACAAATCCCTATTTAACTCCATCAAAAAAGTAACCTGCAGCGCCACACCTATTACCATCATTAGGGGAAAAAGCGGTGATCCAATCTCCGACCCCCAGGAACAGGTTTGCAGATTTGCTGAGCATTTCTGTGAGTTCCTGGGGGAGGGGAAATCCCTCAGCGAGGAAAACGTGGCACAAAGTGGGGATGACCCTGCTGAGGCTGCGGTGCCTCAAATATTGGAAAAAGTCACCCCCTGTGAGTGGCTGGCTGAGGTGCCAGAGTCTGAGATCAGGAAAGGCACCGGGCAGAGAAATGCTGTGGGAGGATGGCGTTTGTGCACAGACTGCCCTATATGACATCATAACAGTCTGGACCACTGGAAGGGTTCCGCAGGATTGGAAGGATGCCCTGGTGGTCCCCCTCTTTAAAAAGGGGGACCACACAGACTGTAACAACTACAGGGGAATATCACTCCTCAGTGTGCCGGGAAAGGTCCTTGCAAGGATTATTCAACATCGCCTTGCTAGGCTCGCTGAGGAGAGGCTTGCGGAGTCCCAATGCGGTTTTAGGAAAGGGCAGTCCTGCACAGATGCCATATATTCTGTCCGTCTGCTACAACAGAGGTATAGGGAATTCCAACAAGACCTACATCTCTGCTTTATTGACCTGCTCAAGGCCTATGATACCATCAGTAGGCCTGGGCTCTGGGTTGTTCTTCGTGCTTTTGAAGTCCCTGACCCTCTGCTCACGATTATTAAGGACCTTCATGATGGTGAGTGGGCCCGGGTAAAACTACATGGCCGGGAGTCAGAGCCATTCTCTCTACACCTTGGGGTGCGACAGGGATGTCCTCTGGCTCCCACATTATTTAACATATTTTTTGACCACGTAGTTCGTGAAGCCTTCAATAGCTGTACCGGAGGAATTCCCAGATACAATGGGAGGCTGATTGATGCCCAGGTGCGGTCAAGGGATGGCTCCCTATTGGGCAACCACCTTATGTATGCCGATGATTTGGTAATTGCTGCTCATTCAGAGGAGAAGTTGGAGACGTTGCTGCTAAAACTGGAACGTGCCACTAAGAGGTGGGGCCTTACCATCAGCCCCACCAAAACTAAGCACCTGCCTGAGTATTTTGTACCATCGGACACTCCACCCCCACAACTCCCAATTGGTGATGGGGCAGTTGTGAAGAGAATGGAGAGTTTCCCATACCTGGGCAGTGTGCTCATGAATGGCTCCGGTTTAACAGCAGAGGTCTCACTCCGAATCATTCGAGCGGCAATATCTTTTCATCGGTTGCGTAACGCTGCGTGGAAGCTACCTGGTCTATCACTCTGCACGAAGCTTCAGGTCTTCTCGGCCATGGTCATTCCCTCCCTTCTCTACGCTTGCGAAACGTGGGCACCCCTAATGGAACATCTTCGCTGGTTAGAAACTTTTCGGTTGGCCTGCCTACGATCCATCCTGGGTTTAACCAGGCTGGGTTGTGTGAGGAGCTCACAAATCCTTGAAAGATCTGGGCAAAGTCCCATCGGTGAGCTCCTCTGGCAGGCAAGGCTCCGTTGGCTGGGTCATGTAGCCCAGCCACCGCATGCCTAAACAGCTTTTGTTCGGCTGGATCGAGGGGGCTAAACGGGCGCGGCACGGACTAGAAAAGAGATGGAGTGATGTGGTACAGGAGGACGTGGAGTTGAGTGGACTTGCCGATGACTGGTACCAGCGGTGTCAATATCGGCCTCTGTGGAGGAGGCTCGTGAAGGATGCTACTGGGCAGTTGGAGGCAGTCGCCCTCCAACAACAACGGAGGGCGGAGGAGCGGAGCGGTTGTTATATGTGTGTGTCTATGTCTGCGCGTGTGTACAGAGACACTACACACTTTACATCTACGCAAACCCGATCACGACGCTCGAAAATTAATTAACAGACACGGCCCCGGCACAAAACGATGACAACCACATCCAGAAGGGAGAGGGGGGGGGGGCTCCTTATGGGTTTGGGGGGGAAGGCAGGGCAACCCCCCGACCCTTAACCCTCGCCCCAGACCTGATCTTATAACCTTCGTCCCTCCCCTGACTCCGTACCTCCACCCTCTTACACGGGAGAGCCTCGTTGAGTCTCAAGACTCATTTTGAGGAGGAGTGTGATGCTGCTACACTGGGAGTGTTTGGTATATTCATCATTCATAACCAGAGCGTTCGTACAGCGCCGGCTCAAACGCTTCGGTAACTCAAAGAGCATTACAGCAGCACGCACAATCTCAAACATTCAAAGGGCACCCCCATTGGCAGCCCTCCCTGTGTGGGACAAGGTGACGACAACACAAACTACTTGGTGATACTGCAGTCCATCTCGACGGCCTCTCTGGGTTATGAAGGGTCACTGCCTGAAACGTCGCCCGTATAGATTTTCCTTATAAGGCCACGGTGTTATTGGCGAACGAGTCGAAGTTTTTCTGTTAAGGGCGTTTGGCTCCACGTTGGAAGAAACCAGGGAACCCAGATAAAACCCAAAAATACAATAACACGGCCACATAACGCTCTGCACAGATGGATTTAAGAATCCATCATGTACACTGCAGCAACGGACGATTGATTCTTGAACCACTAACTGTGACCCTAATCCCAACCCTGACCCCGTCTCTAACCCTAGCCCTGGGGTGGGAGCAGGAGGTGGAGGGGCAGGTAGGCAAAGTGGTTTCCTGTTCAAATGAGCATTGAGACATTGGTGCTCATCTCTCGTTTACAACCTCGAAATTCCACATTTATATGGCAGGGGTTAATATATCCAAGTGATAACCACTGTTGACTCCCCAGTGTTGACCAACTGAATAAAAAATCGAGGTAACTCCCTCCCCATGCCCCCCGCACCCCCCATCATTCGGCCACAATGTTCTTTTTGTTTAGGATCTTCATGAGCCCCTTAGACATGAAGTATGGCTTCTCCACCGAGCCATCGTTCTTCTCCAGGTCTTCCACTGCGGGAGGGACACGGACACATGAGGGGTGGGTGGGGCCTTGGCTAGAGAAGAGTGGCACCCAGAGGAGTGGGGGGTCCCCCCTAGCTCGGGGAGTTTGGAGGGACGGTGGGCCTTTAGCTGGAGGGCGGCAGATCGACGGGGCCCAATAAGGCAGTGGGCCCCATAAGGCAGTGGACCCCGTAGGGATGGTGAGCCCTTAGCCAGAGAACGGTGGACCCTGTAGGGATGGTGGGCCTTTATTTAGAGGGACGGGTGAGTCCGGAGGGCCCGGAGGGGCCCAGGGGGACGGGGGGCCCCAGAGGGTGGGAGGGTTCCCTTAGTCGGAGGACTCCTGGGCGTGCGTGGCCCCCGGTTTCCCCAGCAGCTGCAGGAGGCCGGGGGACATGAGGTATGGGCGCTCCAGAGAGCCGTCGTTCCGCTCCAGGTCCTCGCCTGGGGTGGTGGGGTGATGGTGATGGGTGGGTGAAGGTTGGGTGATGGGGGTGGCGATGGAGGTTGTAATGTGGGGTATTTATGGAGGTGGTGGTGATGGGGAGGTGGTGATGGGCGCGTGTGTGCTTAACGGAAATATGAAAGTTGTCAATCACACAGGAGGACAGATGGAAATGAAGGAGAAGGAGATGGTAGAGGAGGCGGAGGATGAGGGAGAAGGGAGAAGAGAGGAGGAGAACCTCAGTGAGACCACAATCATCATCCGCAGCAGCATGAACCCCATCAGATAAACACCATCAGCAGAAGGGTCAAAGAGGAGTGGAGATCACATGGGTACAAAACACAGGCAAATTCATCATCTTACAATGGCTATTCACTGCTGGAAGAAGGCCTCCTCACACTACCGCCAGTGCTACAACTAACCATCTCACTTCTGCCCATGATCTCCCCGAATCTCCCACTTTGATTTCCATGTCTGTGGGATCACCCAGCAATCACCGATCCGCTCGCTTGCACACTGACGGTCAGTCGCCTCCTCAACACTCTTCTTCTGCGACTACTACAATCACCGTCCCGCTACTACTACCACGATCACCGTCCTGTCAACTTCACTCTCTGATTCTGATACCAGACACTGCCCATTTCGTCTCTTCCACCACGCTCTTTTCAACCACCACCATCTCGAAGTTATTCTGGGGAGCGGTAGACCAGATGAGAATGTAAAATATGAGAATTATCCCCACACGCGAGCCCTCCCTTTAAGGGTGAGAATGCATCTGTGTGGGCATTGCTGATCAAATCAAATGATAGAGGTTTTTTTTGGGTTAGATTGCGTAAATATATAAATGCGTCGTTTATATATTTATGCGATCTAACCCAAAAAAACCTCTATTATCGATGGGATTGGTCGCGAAAGCCTTCTGCTCCGAGGTGTTAAACAAATCAACTGAGGGCGATTCACCTGCCCCCCACATCTGTCCCTCTATATAAACGATACTCGAGTGTTTTTTACACATCCTATCAGTCACACGCGCACCACACAGCCGTCCTTTGGAGAGTCAATCTCATCGGCACGATTGGCTACGTACGGTGCGAAAGAAGTACAACATCGGCAGCACTGGTTCAAGCAAACTCTGGGAGGGGTTTCGTCACGCGGTGTCTCACACAGCGTCGCTTCCTTCACCAACCTACAATGACCGGAGTGAAGCATGGTCAGCAAACCCCCAGGAAAGAGATGTGGATTGAGAGAAAATGAAAGGAAGAAAAGATGGAAGCTCACACATCCGTGTGCATGCGTGTCTGAGTGTGTGCGTCCGTGTGAGCATGTGCGAGTCTGTATGCGAGAGTGCGCGCGTGCGAGTGCGCGCCTGAGCGAGCGCGCCATGTACTCACAGAAGCACAGGAACAGCGTGTCCACACACATGCTGTAGACACTGAAGAAGCCGTGAGCCACCATGTAGGAGCCCACCACCACCGTCTGGGTGGAAATACACACTCATGGACGTTACACGCACACACCAAGACCCCCCCCCCCCCCCCTCCCCCGTCTAGCCTTAACAAGCTGTTGGGGCAAATGCTGTTAGTGAGCACTAATGCGGACCAACACGGCACACGAGAGGGTCGGTGGCCACGCACAGCCACCTGTCTGCCCAGAGAGACGCACGCCTGTGCTCCCCACTGCGCCACGTCAATAAGTTTCAGTCGTCGGGTGCACCCACTCGTTGTTGCGAGCGTCGCTCCTCCGCCCTCCGCTATTGTTGCAGGGCGACTGCCTCTAACCGCCCAGTAAGCCTCACAGTGCATCTAGCCTGGCGCTGCCCAGGACACGGATATACTGACACGCACATCCATTTCTGACGCACCCACCCAGAATCAAAAGAGGGTAGAGGCACTGGACCCCACCCCCACCGCTGGCCCCCTGACTGACGCACGTGACCCCCTGCCGCTGCCCCTCCACGTGCCCCCTCACCCTCTGCTCCTCACCAGGATGGGCACCCAGTAGTAGTTGAGCACCGGGTGAGTCGGGATGAAGGAGATGCGGCCGGAGAAGAAGAAGAACGCCAGCACGCCTGCCACACGTGGGGTGAGGGATGGGGGGGATGGTGTGTTTGGGTGTTGCTTCCGGCTGTTGTGTCCAAGTGTTGTGACTGGGTGTTGGTGTTAAGAGTATTGTGTCTCACCCACTGCTCCAACCACCAGCAGCTTCCCCATCATCAGAAGAAAATCCGTCACCTTGTCTAGCACCACCACTCTGCAAGACATCATCATCATCACCACCATCATCATCACCACCATCATCATTATCACCACCATCACCATTATCATCATCATCACCACCATCATCATTATCACCATTATCATCATCACCACCATCACCATTATCATCATCACCACCATCACCATTATCATCACCACCATCATCATCATTATCACCACCATCATCATTATCATCATCATCATCATCACCACCATCATCATTATCATCATCACCACCATAATCATTATCACCACCGTCATCACCACTATCAACATCACCATTATCATCATCATCATCATCACCACCATCATCATTATCAACACCGTCATCACCACCATCAACATCACTATTATCATCACAAACATTATCATCATCATTCACCACCATGATTACTATCATCTTCACCACCATGATTACTATCATCTTCACCACCATGATTACTATCATCTTCACCACCATGATTACTATCATCTTCACCATCATCAAGACCCCACCAAGGCCCATGAGAACCCATTGGGATCTCAGAGAGGCCCCAGTGAGACTCACGTGATCCTGTTGTGACCCCAGTGAGACTCAAATAACCCTATTGGGACCTATAGGGCCCCATAGGAACCACAGCTGGATGAACAGCGAGACTCATGGGACCTCAGAGTAGGACCCCAGCGGGCCCCCGGTGGGAAGCTTGAGGGACCCTGGTGGGCCCCCCCCTTACCGCACGATGTTACGCATGAGCAGGAAGAAGGCGTTCTTGGCCGAGACGCAGAAATTCTTCCCATAGATGGCGACCTGGGTCACACACGGGGTGGACACGCGGGGTGGATCATTGTGAGTGGGGGGTCACAGTGTGTGAAGGTGGACATGATGATAGTGGTGGACAGAAGTAGAGGTGGATGTGAAGAGGTGGATGGTGGAAGTGGTGGGCGTGAGGAGGTGGTGTGAAGGTAGAGATGGTGGTAGTCATGTGTGGTAGACGTGGATGTAGTGGACGTGGTTGTGGTGGATGTGGTGGTCACCATGATGTAGGCATTGCGGTTAAGAAACTTTATGAACTTCTCCAGACACCAGAAGCAGCACTTGAGGCAGCACATCACGAACCGGGCGCACTTGTTCTCCGACACTATTCGAGACAGGCAGAAACACGCAGAGACACAGACACGTGGAGACACGCGGTTACACAGAGGCACGTGAGGAGACACACGGAGACACGTGGAGGCACGCGGAGACACGTGCAGACATGTGGAGAGACACGGAGACACGCGGAGATACACACACAGAGACATGACGAGATACACAGAGTAAGAGTTTGAATGAGTGTGTGAGTTTGTATGCGAGTGAGTGTGTAAGTGAGTGTTGGTGAGTGCGAGTGTGTGCGAGTGCGTGAGTGAGCTCACCTCTGAGCTTGTGGTCGATGTACTCCAGCATGACGCGGATGAGTTGAACGATGGCGAGGATGAGCGATCCGAATGCCAGCGAACCCGTGTGGTACCTACATCACCATCACCGGCAACATCGCCACGGTCGCTGCCAACATTACCACCAGCACTACCACCACTTCCATCACCATCACACTCATGCTGTACGCACAGAACTCTGCTCCCAAATGAAGCTTCCCCATTGCTATCATCCGGAACGCGGCCAAGCTGGCTCAGCTCGAGTACACGGTACTGCCACAACCACCACGCTCGTGGCACTCGCTCTCACCGGAGCGTGCGTCCGAAGGAGGAGAAGACGGGGCAGGGGGGGATGTCTCCGGGCTTGCTGGGGGCCCAGTAGTAGGAGGCAAAGGCCCCCGCCAGAGTGCAGTGGCCCAGCGCGATCACGAAGTTCATGGCCCAGAAGAACGCAAATACGTTATACACCTGGGGGTGGGGGGATCATCATCATCAGTGATAGCATGACAGGTGACACCATTATCATGATGTTCAATACATTCATAATCATGATTTTAAGCATTATCACCATCACCATGCTGTAATCATGTCACTATCATCACCCCTACCATCATCACCACTTTTTCCATCATTATCATCGTTATTTTCACCATCACTGGCATCACATCACCACCACCATTATTAAGCCACCACGTAATCACCACCACCGTCACCACCACGTCGCCATTGGCGGCGTGTCTGGCTGAGCAGCACCTGCAGATTGAAGATGTTGCGGTGGTAGAGGTCCTCTCCGCCGAAGCTGGTGAAGATACAGCTGGCGCTGGGACAAGCGGCAAAGGCGGTCGAGATGTTGAACACCTGTGCCGAGACAGAGAGACACCGGTGGGCGTGACGCGACACTCGCACGCTGCACCCGTAACGCGGCAGAGAGCGGCGTGGAGCGCCAGCGCCCTCTTGTGGTCACCCCGTCTCTCAGGCCCTGTCTCCCAGGATCCGTCTCCCAGGCCCCGTCTCCCAGGATCCGTCTCCCAGGCTCCGTCTCCCAGGCCCCGTCTCCCAGGATCCGTCTCCCAGGCCCCGTCTCCCAGGATCCGTCTCCCAGGATCCGTCTCCCAGGCCCCATCTCCCAGGATCCGTCTCCCAGGATCCGTCGAGCAGGGCCCGTACCTCTGGTGAGCAGTAGGTCCCGTTGAGGGACGCGCAGGCTTCTCCGCTGCCGTTGGGCCCCCCCGGCACCACCGCCTTGTACACGGCCACACCCGACGTGGCCAGGTAGCTGGGCGCGCGGGGTCAAGGGTCACACCGCGTGGATGCACGGCGGCAGCAGCAAGTTGGTGGTGGTGGCCGAGGAGGGGAATATGTAGAGAAGGTGGATGAGCTTGAAGAGGTGGTGAGGATGGGAGCTGGATGATGAGGTTGATGAGGTGCATGACGAGGTAGAGGATACAGAGACGTGATGGCCCAGTAGCTGATGACGACGGCAAGCAGCACGAACGTGACGATGGGGAAGAGCAACGACGACATCATGTGGCCAATCGCCCTGCGGGAGACACGGGGGTGTGGAGGGGGGGCGCGCAGACATTGGGGATAAATATCTGAACCAGTCCTGGGCCTCCCCTAGGTCGACTCAGCCTTAAACGAGCGGCTAGTGCGGCGTGTAAACATTGCAACGAGACAATTTGCGGCCGGGCGTGGTGCCGGCCACCCACCCACTTGTGTGCGGTGCCGGCCTTCACAGGTGCTACTCGCAAACGCCATTTGCGCGTGCGAGTCTGTCAAGGCTACACCGGGGACCTTCGTCTTTGTTAGCGAGTCCTACTTGCTGCTCTCCTTGATGAGGGCTATGGCGATGAGGATCCTCTTCCTGAGGAACACCACCAGGAGCAGGATCACCACCTCCAGGATGCACAGCAGGATCACTGCGGGACACGGGGGGGTGTACAGATGAGGTGTACACCGGTGCGCCGTGTGTACAGGTATCTGGTGTGTACACAGTTCAGCATAAACGTAGTTGAGTACACAGATGCGTGTGCAGGTGGGTGCAGGTGAGGTGGGTGCAGGTGAGTGCGCTGCAGGTGAGTGCGGTGCTCACTGATGGCGAGCCAGGTGTCGCGCACTTGCAAGTAGACCCGCAGGTCGGTCTGGAAGCCCAGGTCTGTGATCTTGTTATCCGCCCCAGGTCTCCCCTTCAGGTTCACACTGTACTCCCAGTAGCAGTGGTAGATGCCTGGTGGAAGGAGGGGGACACGAGGGGGTGGTTATGGGGGGGGACACGGGGGGCATATGGAGGGTACATGGGGAAGACACTGGCAGGACATGGGGGGGGGGGGGGGGGACACGGGGAAGACGCGGGGGGCCACGACGGGTACCGTATCCGATGATGGCGACGAGGGCGAGGAGCATGACCCAGATGATGACTCCGGCCAAGAAGCGAAGCAGCACGAGGAAGAGCAGACTGAGCAGCAGCGCGATGCCCAGACCACTACACAGACACAAAGATCCCCCAGGGAGCCTTAACAGACTGCTGCGGAAAGTGCAATTAGCGAGCACCTACAAAGGCCGGCATGGCACACGATGGGGTGGTGTGGACAAAGCCTGTCTCGCCTGAGTGCCGATGTTTACACACCGCACCAGGTGCTCGTGTGAGACTGAGATGACCTAGGGGGAGGCTCAGAACAGAGTCAGATAATCGTCACCGATGTTGGCCTTGAGCGACAACCGGTGCACCACCGCTCACTCTTGCACAAGACAAAGATCTTCCTATAGCCTTGAACAGACTATTGGGGCAAGTGCTGTGAGCTAGCATCTATGAAGTACTCATTTGAGCCTGGTCGACCTAGGGGAGGCCCAGGACCGGTTCAGATAATCGTCACTGGTGTTAGCTGTGAGCGGGAATCGAACCTGGGTCGCCAGCTTCATAGCCCAGCACGCTAACCACTACAGTACCACTCCCCATTACACACCCGCATGGACACGCACACACGGCAATGTATACACATCAACGTGTACACAATAATCCATACACACAAAAACATATAAACCGTGATGTACACAGAAATGAGTGCCTGCCTACAGAGCCCCAATGTTCACACCCCTACACGCGCCCACTCATGGTTGACTGCTCATTGCACCGGGTTACCATGGAAAGCCTCACTGAGTCTCAAGACTGCTTTTCAGGAGGGTTCTGTCAAGATATTGCTGCTGTGTGCAATACGAATTGAGTAATTTGAAGTGAATTTTTTAGCACTGGGATGTGGTTTGGCCAATACCAGTTCCACTGTGTGTGGGTTCAGCTATGGTAGGAAGTCGGACACCCCGGAGGAAACCCACGCAGAACAGGGGGGGTGAGAATTCAAACTCCACACAGAAAGGCGCCCTAGTCGGGAGTCGAACCCATGACTTCTTGCTATGAGGCACGAGTGTCATCACCCTGCCACCAAATGGGTAAGAGAGTGGAGTGAGAGGGTGGGTGAGTCGGTGGGTGGCTGAGTCGGTGGGGGTGGGTGAATGGGTGGCTGAGTTGGTGGGTGGCTAAGTGGGTGATTGGGGAGGTAGGTGAGTGGGTATGTGAGTGAGTGAGTAGGTGAGTCGGTGAATAGGTGAGTGTGTGAGTGAGTGGGTAGGTGAGTGTGTGAGTGAGTGGGTAGGTCAGGAGGAGGGCTCCGTGGACTCACATGAGGATCCAGTACCAGGATCGCGCAAAATCCTCAAATACTTTCATGCCCACCTGACGCGCGTCCATGAACTTAGAGATCCCCCTGAGGGGGGGCAGGGTGGGGGGCACGAGAGAGTGAGGCAGCATCACACCCCAGTCCCCGAGTCCACTCACTCACTGCTCTCACACACACACACACACCCTGCACACACAGACCCTACACATAGAACCCCCTACACACACACACACACCCTGCACACAACACACCCTGCACACACCCTGCACACACCCTACAACACAGACCCAACACACACACCCCCTACACACACACTCACAACCTACACACACACAAACACCCATTGTAGGGATACCTGACCGCCTCCCCCCAAAAAGAAAACCACACATTCAACTTGTGGGGGCCAGGACCGGTTCAGATAATCGTCGCCTGTGTTGGCCGTGAGCGGGAATATAATTTGGATCGCCGGGTTCGTAGCGCAGAACGCTCACCATGACCCTGCTGTCCCCCACCTCTCACGCAGACACGCGTACCCCCCCCCCCGCGCCCCCATAGGCCCCCCGCGCCTCCCGTGCCCCCCGCGCCACGTACTTGGCCCCCCTCTGGATGTCGGTGGCGTTGAGCAGCTGGCCGTTGCCGTAGTTGATGGAGCGGTTGCCGGCGACGCTCACCTCGCTGCGGTCTGTCACGAGGCGCGGGAAGCAGCGGCCCTGGACTACCGCGGGCAGCAGCAGCAGCACACGTGGTGCGCGAGGGGCGGTGAGCAGGGAGTGGTGAGCAGGGGGCGGTGAGTGGGGAGTGGTGAGCAGGGGGCGGTGAGTGGAGAGCGGGGGGGGGGGGTGATGGGGGGGACGAGTGTCGCTGCTTTCTTAGGTGGTGATGGTTATTTATGAGTGTAGATGAGTGGTGTTCACGAGTGTTGGTGAGTGTCGTGAGTGTTGGTGAGTGTTGTGAACTCACAGGGCTGGCTCGGGAAGATGATGGACGGGCACTGCCTTTTGGCCAGGATGTCAGCGGGGCTCAGTGCCTACGACCACAACCACAGCCACAACTACAACCACAACTACAGCCAGTCACAACTACAGCCACAACTACAGCCAGTCACAACCACAACTACAGCCACAACTACAGCCAGTCACAACCACAGCCACAACTACAAATACAACCACAGCCATAGTTACAGCTACAACCACAGCGACAACTACAACCACAGCCACAACCATAACGACAGCTACAACCACAGCTACAACCACAACTACAGCCACAGCCACAACCACAGCGACAACCACAACTACAACCACAGCTACAGCTACAACCACAGCTGCAAGCAGAGCCACAGCTACAGCCACAAGCACAACCAGTAGCTGAGTTAGATAGCCACAATTGCGATAAAATAACAAGAACACCTCCGATGAGCACGGTTGTCTGCGTGCAGTGTGAAAGAAGTTCAACATAGACAGACAGATACGACCACAGCTTCAGTGAGACAACGTGAGCACGCCCCCCCCCCCCGCGCCCTGGTCCCCTACCTGCCCCCCGGTGAAGCCCGGCACACAGAAGTCGGCGTAGCTGCTCATGCCGCCGGGGGTGGCGACAGCGGCGAGGAGGCTGTCAAACTTCTCTGGGCAGCGCTTCACACAGATCTGGGAGCGGGGGGGGGGGTTGAGACGTTAAAGATGTAAAACATCACCAGCGCTTCCGTGTGAGCGAGTGAGAGGCGCTGGCTAACAGCAATTGCCCCAACAATCTGTTAAGGCTATATGGGGGATTTTTGTCTCGTTTTTGTCTTGTGAGTGTGTGGGCACCTGTGTGGTGAGGCACTGCAGGTTGAGCAGAGTGGCGGGGTTGGCGCATTTAAGTATGTCGAAGTAAAACAGGTACGGCTTCTCCCTGCGACGCACATGCGCGCAAACACACACGCACGACGCACGCACAACACGCACACACGCGCACAACACGCACACAACATTCCGTTGACACACCGTGTACAGATGGAGCACGCAGGGTCACGTCGACCTTGTAAGAACCACTCGCGAGTGTCGCGTTGGGCCATTCTTTGGTTTTCTGCACATCGCTCGACGATGCTCGACGCAGTTTCAAACGAAGTTCGTCGTATATCTACTTGATAAATGCAGCGTGGTAAAAGCTCGGGACAGATTAATTTGTTTGGCTATCGAGTGATGGAGGGTCACGACCACACAACATTGGCCAAATCATGACGTGACCTAGCCCACGCATCAACCATGAACCAATGGTGTCCACGCTGCGACGAGGCGCTCAGAGCAGGGCGTGGCCACCCCCCCCCCCGTCCCCTGTCCCCTCTAACCAGAGCCCCTCCCAAACAAATTTGGGGGCCGACCTGGCCTCGGCATAAGAACGTGTGGAGTGCCCTCCTTCGTACGTACGCGTTGGGGGAGCCCGGCTGTCCGCAGAAGTGGCCGTAGCTGTCGACGGGATGTATCACCTGCCGCGGGTCTCCATGCACCCATGCTGCAGAGACAAAGATCCCCCGTGGAGCAGTGAATAGACAACTGTTGGGGCCGGCATGGCACACGAGGGGGTGGGTGGCAGCACCACGCCTAGCCGCATTTGTCTCCCCAGTGCTGATATGTATGCACTGCACTGGGTACTCATTTAAGGCTGAGACGGCCCTGGGGGCATGGACCACTATGCCATTGCTTCCTACTGTTGTGCAGAGTGAGGGCGAGTGAGAGTGGTCTTTGCTTGTGTGTGGAGTCTGTAAGTTCTCCCCCTGGTCTGCATGAGTTTCCTCTGGGTTCTCCAGTGTCCTCACATAGCTAAACAAACACAGAGTGTGAGTGGTGTTGTCCCTGAAAATCACTCAGCAACATCGCTCCCCACTGTGAAGACTTGGCAAAACCTTCTTGAAAAAGAGTCTTGAGACTCAGTGAGCTTTTCCTGGCTAAATAAATAAAACAATGAGGTATTTTATCACGTCAATACGCGCATGAACAATCCTATTGACACAGCTATGAGTAGGGCCGTCTATACTCACACCAGCATCTCCCCATCTCCCTCCCCCATCTCCTCTGCCTCCCTCTCCTCCCCATCTCCCTCTCCTCCCCATCTCCCTCTCCTCCCCATCTCCCTCTCCTCCCCATCTCCCTCTCCTCCCCATCTCCCTCTCCTCCACATCTCCCGCTCCTCCCCATCTCCCGCTCCTCCCCATCTCCCTCTCCTCCCCCATCTCCCTCCCCCATCTCCTCTGCCTCCCTCTCCTCCCCATCTCCCTCTCCTCCCCATCTCCCTCTCCTCCCCATCTCCCTCTCCTCCCCATCTCCCCATCTCCCTCTCCTCCCCATCTCCCTCTCCTCCCCATCTCTCTCTCCTCCCCATCTCCCTCTCCTCCCCATCTCCCTCTCCTCCCCATCTCCCTCTCCTCCACATCTCCCGCTCTTCCCCATCTCCCGCTCCTCCCCATCTCCCTCTCCTCCCCATCTCCCTCTCCTCCCCTTTCTCCCTCCCCCATCTCCTCTGTCTCCCTCTCCTCCCCATCTCCCTCTCCTCCCCATCTCCCTCTCCTCCCCATCTCCCTCTCCTCCCCTTTCTCCCTCCCCCATCTCCTCTGTCTCCCTCTCCTCCCCATCTCCCTCTCCTCCCCATCTCCCTCTCCTCCCCATCTCCCTCCCCTCCTTCCCGTAGTCGTCTCACCAACGATCCCCACGGCGACGTAGCCCAGGATGAAGAGGGAGAAGAGAATGCAGCAGACGATGTCGGTGCAGCTCCTGATGAGACGCACGCACACGCACGCTCGTTTACACGTGTGTACATATATACAGCACCATGCCCGGCCGCCTTTGTCTCCCTAGTGGCGATGTTTACATTTGAGGCTTAGTCGACCTAGGAGAGGCCCAGAACTGGTATTGGCCATGACTTGGAATTGAACTCAGGTAGCCGGGAAAGGTAGCACAGTGCGCTAACCACTGCACAACCCACTACACTCCCGCAAACGCGTGCACGCACACACACCCACACACACACACCCACACACACCCACACACACCCACACACGTGGTTCCTTCCTTCAGGTGCATCTCCCAGAACCACATTAGGGTTCACCCCCCACTTCTCCCCCCGACCCACTCCAGATCTCACCGTTTCACCACGGGTCCCCTGAAGTTGGGGTCATGCTTGTTCGGTTGTCCTGAAGCACACGGACACAGAGACACACAGACACACACACACAGACACAGAGTTACACACAGGCAGACACACAGACACAGGGACACACACAGACCCACACACAGACCCACACACAGACACACACACAGATACAGGGACACATACAGACACACACACAGAGACACACACAGACAGACACACAGACACAGGGACACACACAGACACACACACAGACACAGGGACACACACAGACACACACACAGATACAGACACACACACAGAGACACACACAGACACACACACACAGACACAGGGACACACAGAGACAAAGATAAAGATCCCCCGTATAGCCTTAACAGACTGTAGGGGCAAGTGCTGTTAGCGAGCACCTATGAAGGCCGGAACGGTACACGAGGGGGTGGGTGGCCAGCACCACGCCCGACCGCCTTTGTCTCCCTAGTGACAATGTTTACACACCGCACCAGGTACTCATTTGAGGCTGAGTCGACCTAGGGGAGGCCCAGGACCGGCTCAGATAATCGTCACTGGTGTTGGCCGTGAGCGGGAATCGAACCCGAGTCGCCAGGTTCATTGCGGAGCGCGCTAACCGCTACACTACCGCTCCCCACACACACAGACACAGGGACACACACGGACACAGAGACACACACAGACACAGAGACACACACGGACACAGAGACACACACAGACACAGAGACACACACAGACAGAGACACACACAGACACACACAGGCACAGAGACACACACAGACAGACACAGGGACACACACAGACACAGAGACACACACAGACACACACACACAGAGACACACACAGACACAGGGACACACACAGACGCACACACACAGAGACACACACAGACACAGGGACACACACAGACGCACACAGACGCACACACAAAGACACACACAGACACAGAGACATACACAGACACACACAGACACAGAGACACACACAGACACAGAGACACACACAGACACAGACACACACAGGGACACACACAGGCACAGGGACACACACAGACAGACACACACACAGACACACACACACACAGACACAGAGACACACACAGACACAGAGACACACACAGACACAGAGACAACCCTCGCAGACACATATTCCAGACCCGTGTGGGCGAGAGGGTGGATGTATGAGTGAGTGATACAGGGGAGTGAGCAAGTGAGTTTGTGGGTGAGTTAGTGAGGAAGAGATTTGGTGAGCGAGTTGGTGAGTGGGCGACTGAGTCAGCAGGGGAGTGAAGGAATGTGCAAATTAGTTATTGAGTGGGTGAAGAAGTGTGTGGGTGAGTTGGTGAGCGATCAAATGACAGAGTGACAATAGTGAAGTAGACATGACGGCTCTTTCACAATCCGTCTCTCCACATAAAACTCGTAAGTATTTTTTACACTTTAAAACAGCCACACACGACCTTCTGGGAATACATAATTTCAGCAGCATTGATTCAAACATGCAAACTCTGGACCGGTTTCGACAGTCTCATCATCAGTCAGACTTGCTTGAACAAATGTTGGTCAACTGCCAGAAGTTATAGACAAGGACCCTCTCTTTGAGATGTGGAGTTGGTGAGTGAGTGTATGTAGAACTTCTTTCGCACCGTATGTAGCAAGCGGTGCTAATTGGGTAAGTGTGTGTGCTGGCAAGTGGGCGACTTGGATGAGTCTTCCAGTGAGTGTGGTATAAGTTGGTGAGTGAGTGGGTAAAGAGTTGGTAAGGTGGGGAGCGGTAGCATGCTACACTACGAACCCGGCCACCCGAGTTCGATTCCCGCTCACGGCCAACACAAGTGACGATGATCTGAACCGGTCCTGGGCCTCCCCTAGGTCGACTCAGCCTAAAATGAGTACTTGGTGCGGTGTGTAAACATCGCCACTAAGGAGACAAATGCGGCTGGGCGTGATGTTGGCCACCCACCCTCTCGGTGCCTTACCAGCCTTCATAGGTGCTCGCTAACAGCACTTTCCCCAAGTCTATGAAGGCTATACGGGGGATCTTTGTCTTCGGAGTTGGTAAGTAGATTTGTGTGCGAGTTAGTGCCTAAGTGATTCAGTGGATGGGCGAGTGATGGAATGAGTGGATGGGTGGGAATGCGAGTCAGCTGATAGGTGGGTGGTGAGTGGGTGGCTGTGATTGTAACGGCGTCTGCTGGAATGAATTGTTGGCCCGAGTGCAGTCCACGACACAGGCCTCATTGTGCACAGAGTGCGCAGCCTGGCCTCAACTCAGCACACCACATTCCGGTAGACCGCTCGCTATGGTCGTGGCTACTAATCACACCTGACGAGTATCCACAGCTATAGCGCACGTACATGCCACCTCGTCAAGCCTGTGAATATGCACTCACCCGGCGCACTACATCCAGTATACCTCTCGCTACACCAATATCAGTGTACACTCATTTATCTCCACGCATCGCTTGGCACACTCCCATCGCCAGATCACATTCCCAACACGCGTTTGTGTCGCGTGCAGGCAGCGGCGGGCACGTGGAAGCGGGCACGTGGAAGCAAACCACGTGTGCGTGCGTGTGCGTGTGCGTGCGTGTGCGTGTGCGTGCGTGTGCGTGTGCGTGCGTGTGCGTGTGCGTGCGTGTGTGCGTGCGTGTGCGTGCGTGTGTGCGTGCGCGTGCGTGCGTGTGTGCGTGCGCGCGTGCGTGTGTGCGTGCGCGTGCGTGAGTACCTGCACATCAAAGGGCAGGTGGCTCAGCGATCGATTGAGCGAATCGCAATGGGAAGATCGCAACTTTAACTCCTGGCTGGGGAAGTTGACTCGGCCCACCATCATCCCGGGGTCAATAAAATGAGTACGACTTTGTGGGGTAGCCAGCAGCGGTTGCCCTATTAATAAACTCGTCCCCGCCATAGCAACGTGGAGTTTGCACCACTGGCTCAGGTGTAAACGGGACATGAGCACCATTGCATCAAAGCTCATTTGAGCAGAAAATCTCTTTGACACACAAAGTGAAAGGGGGCTGATATTTATTCAATACAAAGATGCCCCTCTCGCCTTAACAGTGCAAAAACGAGCGCCTCTCAAGGGTGGCAAGACAACCCAAGGCAGGCCAACGCCACGTCCGGCCGCCTTTGTCTCCACAGTTCTGATGTTTACACACCACACCAGGTACTCATTTAAGGCAGAGTAGACCTAGGAGAGAGGCCCAGGACCGGTTCATATATATGCCGACACGTACAGGACTCTCACATATACCGCGGGGAAAGGGGGGGGCATGCTTCCCCGAGGTTCCACTGATCGTCTCCCGGCGGCGACAGGCGCGGCCTCTCACACAAAGCCCCGACAGCAACGCGGTGCGCAGAGAAGCGCTGGGAACCGCACTGAGAGGAGCACGTTGGGCCGACGTTTCCTTGTTTACTGGGTGATGACGATGATGATGTCGAGGTAGTGGATGATGTGGCCGAGAATCCCCTCGGCGGTCAGGCCGGGTGCCCCCACCAAGGCCCTTCCCTGCCTGACCCCCTCCCTCGTCCCTCCCTCGCCCCTCCCTCGCCCCTCCGCCCGAGTCCCCGTGGGGCCCCTCACCGTGGTACGAGTCCGCCATGGCCGCTTTCAGGCGCCGGGAATGCGGCGGAGGGAGTCTGCGAGCTCCTGTGACGAGCAGCGCCAGGGCCTGGGCCGGGCAGTGACGACTCCGAGAGCCGGAGATTCTGGTTCTGTTGAGCCCGCGAGGCGCGGGGTGGAGACTCCCTCCCACTCACCTGCACCTTCCCTCCCACTCACCTGCACTCACACCCTCCCTCCCTCCCACTCAGCTGCACTCACACCCTCCCTCCCACTCAGCTGCACCCTCCCACTCACCTGCACTCACACCCTCCCTCCCATTCACACCCTCCCACTCAGCTGCACTCACACCCTCCCTCCCACTCACCTGCACCCTCCCTCCCACTCACCTGCACTCACACCCTCCCTCCCTCCCACTCAGCTGCACTCACACCCTCCCTCCCACTCAGCTGCACCCTCCCTCCCACTCACCTGCACCCTCCCACTCACCTGCACTCACACCCTCCCTCCCACTCACACCCTCCCACTCACCTGCACTCACACCCTCCCTCCCTCCCACTCAGCTGCACTCACACCCTCCCTCCCTCCCACTCACCTGCACCCTCCCTCCCACTCAGCTGCACTCACACCCTCCCTCCCACTCAGCTGCACCCTCCCACTCACCTGCACCCTCCCTCCCACTCAGCTGCACTCACACCCTCCCTCCCTCTCTACCCTGCCCGTTTCCTCCTCACTCCCTCCGACTGACTCAGTCACCAATACCGACTCCCTCCTTCCCGCACTCACTGACTCACTTTCTCTGCTCACGAGAGTGAATGAGCAGAATTAATGAGTAGGCAGAGTGAATTGCAGAGGGAATGTTTTAATAAAGTATGAGTGAATGAGGGGAATGAGAACACCTTGAATGTAAACAATACTGCTTGAGCCAGACAGACTCATCCATGAACGACTCTCCAGCCGCACTGCGCCACACAGGGCCAGCTGCCACTGGAGGTGCCCTCTCGAACGTCTCGAGGTGCGGGTCGTAGCGCGGTGTCTAGGATACCCCTCTCCCATCACTCCCTCTCCCATCACTCCCTCACCCATCACTCCCTCTCCCATCACTCCCTCTCCCATCACTCCCTCTCCCATCACTCCCTCACCCATTACTCCCTCACCCATCACTCCCTCACCCATCACTCCCTCTCCCATCACTCCCTCTCCCATCACTCCCTCACCCATCACTCCCTCTCCCATCACTCCCTCTCCCATCACTCCCTCTCCCATCACTCCCTCTCCCATCACTCCCTCACCCATCACTCCCTCTCCCATCACTCCCTCTCCCATCACTCCCTCACCCATCACTCCCTCTCCCATCACTCCCTCACCCATCACTCCCCACTCCCTCACCCATCACTCCCTGACCCATCACTCCCTCACCCATCACTCCCTCACCATCACTCCCTCACCCATCACCAATCACTCCCT